ATTTGAACCGCTGAACTGCAGCTAACAGTCAGCTAAAGTGGCTGCAGTACAGCACTCTAACCACTGCGCCAACTCGGCTCTTAAAACAGACCAGATAAATAGGCAAATTCCATTATGTTTAATAGTGGGATAAGTTACAATTAATCAGAATGTAAGGTATATTTTGCCACAGAAATTAATCTCATAGAGGTCAGTTGTCATAATAAAATGATTCTTATAACTCTTAAATTAAGGATTTCAAAGTTACAGATTTCATGGGCTTAAAAAGAAGTGGGATTTGGAAAACAATCTTCCAACGATATACAATATTAGGTAGTGAACTTCCTCTTATATTTTAAGTAAGAAACACCATAAAAATACATTTTGTTATGCCTTCTAATTTTGTAAATCTTGCATTTATGCTATCTTTATTAGTAGGAAATTTTAAAATGCATCAAGCTTTCTAGAAGTAAAGATTTGTATAGAATACCATTGTCTGTTCTAACAGATGGGCAATGTACAGTCAAACATGCTTTGTTATAATTTTTAATCTTTTTATTTCTGTAGGTTGCTGCTAAAACGTTGCCTTTTTATAAGGACTACTTCAATGTTCCTTATCCTCTCCCTAAAATTGATCTTATAGCTATTGCAGACTTTGCAGCAGGTAACATATATTTTTAAAGCCTGATCTTTCTTTACATTATAAAGTATTTCTGCAGACTGTTGTGTGTATCAATATCAATAAAACTTTGTATTTATTTTAAAAGGTGCCATGGAGAACTGGGGCCTTGTTACTTATAGGTATGATATTAAAATATTGTTTTCATATTCTTATGTTCATGTTTCCATTTTATTAATTATCCCAGATTTATCAAATAGATTGTAAAGGAATTAATTAGGTTTCATACTGATTAGCATGAAGTAGCTTCTTTGAACTTGAACTGTGTTCTATCTTGGGTAGTATGAACTTTCTATAAAAATATCTTCTTCAAAGAATAATTGCAGAAATAAAGAATCATAACTAACTTGCATTCATATTTTTTGCTACACCATAGTGCTACAACTATAAACATTAGAGTCAAGCACTTTCTTTGGTTTTTCCAGTAAGGTCATTAAAAGAAGCTAAGTGTTCGATTCCATTTTATTTAGTTTTCCTCCCTCCTTATTCTTGACCCCAGCTTATTCAATCTGTATATTATTCTACATTGAGTTCTTATGAGTTCTTATTTTTATACTTCATGACATTTGTTCAGGACTGTTGAAAATTCAGTACTAAACAAAGGTACTGGTGACCTGTGACTGAAGGTTCAGCCATTGCCGCTCTCCTGCAGTTATATGATTGCGATCTGGTGCTTAGCAACCCATTTGTATTTATAACCTGTTGGCAAATCTCCCATGATCAAGTGATCACCATTTGGAAACCCTGCTAATTTCCCCAGAAAGTTGGTGGAATTGAGCCACGTTTTTTTCTCCGTGCCAAAATTCAAGTAGGATTTTCAGACCCAGACAATAGAAACTTGCCTCTCCTTTCTGGGTTTGAAAATCCTCTTTGCCAAAATCCAAATAGGGTTTTCAGTTCCAAAGTGAACTGAAGACTCACCTCTTCACTCTGGGTTTGCAGATTCTCTCCTTTCACTTTGAGTTGGAAAATCCTGCCTGGATTCATCATGGAGGATTTCCAGAGCAGCGAGGCAGGTTTCCATTTGCTTTTTTGATCTATGATAACACTTAAAACAAACTTAACACAACTGGGAATGCCAAGATTGCTGTTGCCTCACTTAACAACTACTTTGCTCAGCAACTGAGGTTTCAGTCCCCATTATGACCCCAGTGGTCATAAATTGAAGATTACAACTAGTCTAGAAATGTAAGTTAAGATTAGATCAGCATGCTCATGTATACATCATTTCTGAGTAATCTGTGGCTTGAGAATGAAGATTAATGTAACACATGAACATAATAACAGCATCCATTTACTAGCACCAAAGTCTGCTCCATGGTTTATTTTCAGTTAATGATTTTGTTTTCTTGCCTTTTCTGGGCAGATAGAACCTGGGACATGATATTCTCATATTAGCCTGAAACAAACCAAATCATAGCTGGCTTGAATGTATTTTGCTGTGTTTGCTGCTGAATCAGCCTTTACCATGGCATAGCAAACCAGCCTGCTATCTTTAGAGTTAATGATGATTTATTAACAGCCAGGCATTTAAGCTGTGGTTAGAAATTCTGACTTCTTTTAATGAAACACAGTTTCTGTTGAGAATTTAGCAATTGTTACATATCAATCTTGCAAATCCGATCAAAGCCCTTATTAATAATGGGCAGTCACATAAATGGTGTCCAAATTCAGAATTTGGCAAATGCAGACCATTTCCACACATTTGTTCAGGTGCTTGATATTTCTTGAGTCCTTAAACTAGGGGAATACAGAAGAGCTTTTATTACATTGCAAGCCTCTTCCCAATTGTTCTGCTGGAGCATCAGTAATTGTGGTTGACTGCTACACAATGTCTTGGAATATATTCTTGTGTTGCCAGGCTTTGACAGAGATTTTCATTATGGAGAGTCTTGTTTTCAGTCTCCCTTTCTTTTTAGCTCTTACTCTTGGAAAATGTTAAATAAGTAAAACGAGTCAATTGACTGGATTTAGGTATTCCTGTAACACATTTACTATAAGTTATATTTAAGAAGAAGCCATCTCCTTCACTGTAGGACTCTGGGCAGTGTCCAATTAAACATAACTGATTAGTGATCTTAATGGAACCTAGTGAATGATAAAGCCTGTTCTGAATTAATTTAATATTTTTGATTAGTTGATTAGGTCAATTAATTCCATTTTAATTTTTCTCCATTATATAATTCCTCTCATTGCTCTAGTTAAGTGTACAGATAATCCTTGATTTACAACCTCATTTGGGACCAGAATTACAACAATGAGTGATGTGTTGTTAAGTGAGAGGTGCCTGATTTCATAACCTTTTTATTGCATAACCTTAATGATGTGATTCATTAAGTGAATCACATCATTAAGCAAATTTGAATTTCCTCATTGATTTTCCTTGTTGGAAGCCTTCTAGGACTATTGCAAATAGTGATCACATGACCCCAGGACACTGCAAATGTCATAAATACATGCCAGTTGCAAAGGGCCTAAATTTTGATTGCATGACCATTTGGCGTTGCAGCAATTATAAGTACATGGACTGGACATAAGTTACTTTCTTCACTGCCACCATAAATTTAAATGGCTATTAAATGAATGGACATAAATTGGGGACTACCTGTATTGATGGAACAGAGACATTGTGTTTAGCTGGAGTGGGCAATCTTTTGTGAGAGGCCAAATCGATACAAATTGCTGAGGAGAAAAGGATGATCTTTGTTTTTCTGGGAAAGGGGGAAGTTTGAGGATTTTTTAAAATGCTATTTGAACTTTATTTCAAAGCTTGCATCACAGTAAATACATGAAAACTACTACTAATTTATGGCAGTTTTGGTTAAAGTTTTAGGAGCTACATACAGTGAAATTGTGGTATTATAAGCTGATTTGTTGAATAAATCATAGTTGAGTAGATTATGCCAGTTTATTTACTGGATTACAAATTCTGGTAACAGAGCATAGGGTTTTGTTTGGGGTGTTTTGTTTTCTAACATTGGAGAAACTAAAAGTTCCATTTTAAGTGAAGCTTTCAGTCTTTTCATGGCAATATCAAAGATGTAGGGGAGCACACAAGCATAAATTCAGTAAAATGTATTTATTGAATTGCATTATTAACAATAGTTAATGTATATATATAGGATGCGAAAAAACATTTTCTTCCATAAGTTTTTTTAGAAATGAATTCATTTTTTCTTAATGAAAGTACGTACAGCTTTAAGTATACTCAGAGTTCTAGTTTCAAATCCTGATTAAATATAATTGTAATTAGTTTTAGGATGAATTCTGTCAAGATAAAATAGGAAAAAGAACACATTTAATCTTCCTTTATGCTGACTTTCTAGATAAGTCATTTTTAACTACAAGCAAATAATCTCAATTACTATACTTTTGGGAATATAAAGTGCACTTTCCTCTCCTAAAAGTGGGTGAAAATTGTGGTGCATCTTATACATTGAATGTTGCTGAAGCCCCACCCACCTGCTGCCCCCCACCCTTCGGCTGTTTTCGGCCTCCGCGTGTTGTATTTTCAGCTTTCACACGCCCCATTTTAGACCTATTTCAGGCTGCGGGGATCGCCATAGCACATTGCTGCTGATCGCTGCCTCCGTGTTTCATTTTTGGCCTCTGTGCGTCACATTTTCAGCTGGTTCCAGGCGGCGGGGATCAGCGGCAGCAATCCCTACCGCCTGGAACTAGCAAAAAATGCAAAGTACGGAGGCCAAAAACAGGGTGTTGCGGAGGCCAAAAACTTGATGTGTGGAGACTGAAAACGCAACACGCAGAAACTGAAAATGCAACATGTGGAGGTGGTGATGTGCAGCAATGTATTGTGGCGATCACGGCAGCCTGGAGTGGGTCTAAAATGGAGCATGCGGGGCCACAAATGCGATGCGGCTATGTGCTGTGGCGATCCCCACAGTCTGGAACAGCTGATTGGTGGTATTCCGGGAGGCTGATCCAACTGCCAATCAGCTGCTCATGCTGAATCAGGCTGTGATAAGGTGCTGAATGTGACCAGGCTGTTTGCTGCAAGGATGCTAGCCAGATGAATACCGATGTATATTGGTAGGCAGAGCCAGATTTTTTTCTTGTTTTCCTCCCCCAAAACTAATGTGCGTTTTCTACTCCAGAGCGTCTTCTACTCCCAAACGTTTATATTTTATATTTGTATATTTGTTATTTCTATTTTTTTTAAAAATGAATCTTTACAACACTAGAATATGCCATAATTATGTGGATTGTGCCTTTTCTCTGCAAGTAGTTACATTTTATAAAAGTGCATGAATTACACATAGAATTGTGTTTGGCTGCCTGCCCAGCACACTGCTCATTCACTTTTAAGACTGTTGGTAAGCCACATTTGTAGGAAATATTATGATATTTTATTACATCACCTTTACAAAAGAGTATGGTCTGCACTTTTCTGTATTGGTACATTGTGGTAATAATATCATGTTATTTTATTTATTAGTTCTAAAACAACAAAAACTTAAATCAAAAGCAAAATTCTTCTAATCTTAACTACAAAAATAACAGCGTCAACATGTATATATATTTAATATTTAGCAGGTCAAATAATAAGGATCATGAGGATCACATTGTTAGGTTGGGATAAGAAAATTACATCAAGAAACTTAACATTTCAACTGAAAATGGATTTAAAAAATTGCAGCATTAATAGTATGGAATTATCATGGAAATATATAACACTCCCTTTTATTCTTGATTTATGGCATTTTATAATGTGCTAAAATAAATGGCATTGTGGAGTTTTAATAGAAATAATTTGAAGTGAATTCTTAATATATTTGAAGAAATATTAGTTGCTTTATTATAATTAAAACTGGACTGGCCATGGACTATAATAAAGATCCTTGTGTTATAATTCAAATAATCATAGTAACCTATTATTTGCATAGAGGATATATTTACTCAATAAGAAGTTTTCTACGTGGTAATGTAATAGGCTATTTACTTTAGAGATGTGTGTAGCTTCTTTTCAGTGTTCTGAAAAATGTATCTCCTTATTGCATCTTAGTAGATGCGGAAGAACAATTTTATTGATTCTACAGGAGTTTTGTTAGACGACCCAAAAGTGCTTTTTCAAGAGGCATTTGGACTTTCTGGTTTTTCTTTTGAAGACTTTTCGCTTCTCATCCAAGAAACTACTTCAACTGAAGAAAGGTCTTCAAAAGAATGACTGAGAATCTCCGTAGACATTTAGTTAATCTCTAACTTGATTAAGTTTTTAAATTTCATTTTTTTGATGTCACATTGTTACATTTCTGTTTTTTCCCATGCAGGGAAACTGCACTGCTGATTGATCCCAAAAACTCTTGTTCTTCCTCTCGCCAGTGGGTAGCCCTTGTTGTGGGCCATGAACTTGCTCACCAGTGGTTTGGAAACCTTGTGACTATGGTATTTAAGAAGTATATTTAAGTCACTTCAATTATAGTTAAATCCACGCCTATAGTCCTGAGTATCAGTATTGTTGGTGGCATCGTATATTTACTACTGACAACAAGCATATCGGCATTTGCATAATATTATATCATGTTATGTCAGCTGAGAAAAAGTGTGAAGATATGAAAACATTAGAGTAGATTAAATGGTGAATGTCATTCAGAGTGTCCCTAGTAAAATCAGGTTGAAATCTGAAGTCAGTATTAACTTATCTGGCTATATCAACTTTAACGTGTATTTATTTTATATTCATGCTGGCTGCTATAGTAAGAGAGGGTGGAGGTTATACACCCCAGCTAAATCCAAGTATCCACGCAGGGTAATTTTCCATTTGTGATAGCTAATGCATCAGTAGAATAATCAGTTGGAAAATTAATACATCTGCTTTCTTTTAATAGATATACCTCTGTTTTTGCCCAAATTTACTACAGGTTTTGGATAAACTTATACTTATTTTATACTTGGAGAGAGACTTTAAAAAAAAATGGGGGAAACTAGTATGGTGTACTTCAACACATTTTTCCCATTGTTCCATCAAGATAAAAATTTTCAAATAAATTTGCAAATTAATACAAATCAGTTTTTAATCCCATTTGTATATATGTTTCATAATTGAATTTTGGTTACTTGGAAGACGGGAGCACGATGGCTCAGCAGTTAAAGATGCTGAGCTTATCAGCTGGAAAACAGCAGGCCAGGTTTGAGATCCAAGTGCTGTGCTACAGGTTGAGCTCTTGTTCCTGTTCACTTGGCAGTTTGAAAGCATGCAAATGCAAGTAAGATTAAGAGGTATCCCTTTGGTGGGAAAGTAACAACATTCTGTGTGCCTTACTATAATAACCATGCTGGCCATATTACCAGAGAAAATGCTTTTTGAGAACACTGGCTCCCTCGGCCATGAAACTGAGATAAGCACCACGCCTTAGAATTGGACACAACTAGACAGAGAAACCTTTACTTTTACCTTATCTGGAAAAGAGGGGTTAAGCAGAAAACTGATGCTTTATCCAACTTCTGTGGTGATCCACTCCTCATTGCTCATATAGGCTTTATTTCTATATTTATAAGGAGAAGTTTTATGGGAGGAAACTTAAGTTTATATCATTTATGATATTAAGATGAAGTAACTGATACAGGAGTGATTATAAACAACCAGCAAATTCTGGTAACTTATGAAGTCGATACTCATTGATGAATTTCAGGGTGCTTTAGGATATTTATTTTGTACTTTTTAAGAGATTGAATGTTTTGTTTGAATTTCTCCCACAATCCCTTTGACACATACATGATTGGAAGTAGTAGATGTGACCTCTTTCCATGGCATTTGTTTCCATGGATTTTGCCTGCTGTGTGTTACTGATAAGGCCAACTTCCTTCTGCTATCACAGACCTTCCACTTAATAGCACTGTGGTCATTGTTGAAATGGAAAAATATTAACCCCAAACCATTTATTTTTAGCATTTGATTAGTATTAGGATATTGAAGAAACAGCTTTATGTGACTGTAAGATAATGCAATGTTTTGGAGTTAAAAGCAAAAAATAACTTGTAGTACATGGAAGGGCCCATATACAACCTATCTGCAATTCCTTAAATCAAATTTGTTGTTTCTTCGGATTTTGTTAGAGCAGTAGAATGCAGATACTTGTTCCTGGGGAACATACCATTCCAATATGCATGACCTCATACACTCCAGAATACTTTTTGTCAACTCACCACCACTACCTACCCTTACCAAATAAATTTTCTAACATGTGAAAGGGGCCCTGGATAAAAATAATTTTATAGTCCTGATTGTATCAAAGTGTTTATTTCTCAGAATGACTTCTCTTTTCCTATATATTTTGCTTGGTAACTGTTAGCACATAGATACCTGAGCAGGAAGAGCTGGTGTTATGTGCTAATATGAGATATTTACAGGCAGCACAGTCATGAGTTTATCAGTTACAGTTTCACTGTAGAGGAGATAATAGAAATGCTGGCAAAATAATTAAATCTATTCTGAATTCCAAACAAAACTCCATGATATTTCTTGATACGAGACACAGTGGCACAGGGATTAGAGTGCAGTACTGCAGGCTACTTTTGCTGACTGCCAGCTGCCTGCAATTTGGCAGTTTAAATTTCACCAGGCTAAAGGTTGACTCAGCCTTCTATCCTTCCGAGGTGAGTAAAATGAGGACCCAAATTGTTGGGGCTCTAAGCACTTAAGAGAAGGCTGTAAAGCACTGTAAAGTGGTATATAAGTGTAAGTGCTATTGCTATTGCTATTCCTACTATTTTTATGGAGTAATTTCTTGATGATAGTTTTAAGACAGTTGCTGCAACACTGAATTTCACATACTGTATTTTATATTATAATTTCCATAGATAATTCATGCAGTAGACAATTCATTTTTCATGGAAATGCTATGGGCACTCTCTCATATGGATCAGGGGCAAGTTAAAACAAAGTCAGTGTGCTAACTTAGAAGGTGTGGGACTAACACTGATAATACCAAGTTCTAGCCTGCCTTCAGCCATGGAAGTACATGGGTGACTTTAGGCCATTTACTCTTTCTTAGCCAATCTCTGTTACCATAGAGAAAAATCGAACAAATCCTGATTTGAGCTGTGGAATGAAAATTAGAATAAATTTAATGAATAAATGAAGGAAATGTCAGATTGTCAAGATACGACATAGTTAGCTGCAAGTGGAGAAGGGCCAATAATACTTCAAATATACTGAATGATACATATAACAAGGCAGCAAATTAGTACTAATTTTGGAGTATCTAAACTTGTGAGAAAAATATCAGTATTTTCCCTTTTGGCAATGTTTCTTAGTTGCATAATGACTGAAAGTAACTTTTTGAAGAATCGGAACTATCACGATTGCTTACATCATAAAGGTCAAATTTGTTCAATATCTTTTAGGTATTAAAACATAACACATTTTACTCTTATTTATTGAATTTTATAGGAGACTGGATAATGTATTGCCCCCTTTAGAATTATTATATACTTTCCACAATTTTCCCATCTTTTTCTTAATCACTATGACCAGCTTCTCTATAAATCACTATGAACAGCTTGCCCCTTTGACACAAGTTTTTATTTATCTTCCATTGTTGTGTAAGACTACTAACAGAAACTTTGGGAGTTTGATTTATCATACAGGTATGCATTTGCTTACCTTCTAATATAGCCTAAGTTTCTAAAATAATACACTGTATAAAAATAACTTTTTCTCTGTGATCAAGTTATAAAATATGATGACATTACTAGATTTCTAGAATTTTGTTAATGCTAGTGATGCTTTTTTCCATTAAAATCTGATAAAATCCAAACTACAATGAAAATTGTTGTTTATTTCTTATTGTGATTATTAGCCAGAAATATTTTTTATCCAATGGCAGTTTAGTAGTACTAACTTGTTTTATTTGTTGCAAATAAATGAATATGTAAGCTTTTTTTTATTAAGTTGCTTCTGAGCTGCTTCACCAGCTATTTTGGCTGGGGAATTCTGGCAGTTGTAAGTCTGTAATGCTTAAAGCTGCCAAGATTGGAGACCTCTTGCCTAGAGTCATTACATTTCCAGAAAAGGTCCAAGTCCAATTCCTCTTGAATTCTGTTGACCCATGGTCAGTATTTAGTATTGTGGTGGTCGACCAGATTCTTATATATAGGCTTGAGCTTCTTGAACTTCTGAAGTAGAACTTAATGTGTGATCCTAATCCTTCATGCCTGACAGAAGATTGAGATAAAGCTTAGAAAGTTGCCATTTAAGAAAGATAATATTTATGCTTAGTATGTATTTTTCACTTTTGCAGATAGTGGAGATTTTTTCATACAGACTTCATTTCTGCTTAAAAAAATCTAGTTATTAGCCATTTATAAGATGTGATATCTTAGAGTCTGATAGCTAAACATTATATTGTGCTTTAAAATGCAGCCTAAAACTAAATTGTTACTAGGAATAATTTTCTTTCTTCTGTTCAGGAATGGTGGACTCACCTGTGGCTCAATGAGGGCTTTGCATCCTGGATTGAGTACCTTTGTGTAGACCATTGCTTTCCAGAATATGATATTTGGACTCAGTTTGTATCTGCTGATTACACAAGAGCTCAGGAGCTTGATGCGTTAGACAACAGCCATCCTATTGAAGTGAGTGCCACCTAAATTAGTGAAAGGTGGTGGTTTTTTTCTTGCATTTCTTCAAACAGAAATCTTCTGATAATTGAGGGGACAAAGCACAACAAATTAGCAAATTATTTGATATCTTAAACTAAGGGATTATATTGTAAACTCATTTGCTTAATATTTATTCAGTTGCGAGCCTTATATTTGTTGTATAACTTACTCCTTTTCTCGTATCTAGGTCAATGTAGGCCATCCATCTGAAGTGGATGAAATATTTGATGCAATTTCTTACAGCAAGGGAGCATCAGTAATTCGAATGCTACATGATTATATAGGGGATGAGGTAAATATATACACAAACACACACACAAACATAATAAAATTTAACTATGGATGTTTGTCTTGTGTGTAGTGAAGCTTCTTCAAACAGCAATTCAGGTTCTGGAAGTTACAAAGCAAAGTGTCGAGCTAAGGCCCCCTTTATTGATCTTTTTAGTAAGATATAGGAAGCATTGATAAGTTGGTAGTTGTGTCCATCCCACACTCTTCCTTAATAGGGATGTAAAACTAGTCAGGTTTTGGCACATTTTCGTGAGTATGCCACATGTGCAACCAAAGTCCTATTTTACTATAAGCATACTCATGTTATATACTGCAAGCTAGGATTTTTCATGAAGAGATTGCTTTCTAAAGCAATAAACTCTTTTGTCCATGTCTCTCAAATTAGAAGATGTATATTGTTTACTTATACCACAAATACTAATACAGGTAATTTTGACTTATGACAAGAATGGAGCCCAAAATTTATGTTGCTAAGTGAGACATTTGTTACATAATTTGCCCTATTTTATTTCCACAGTTGTTAAGTGAATCGCTGCAGTTAAGTTACTAATAGGGTTGTTAAGTGAATCTGATTTTCCCATTGATTGTCAGAAAGTTGCAAAAGGTGATCATATGATCATGAAACACCGCAACTGTCCTAAATATGAACCAATTGCCAAATGTCTGAATTTTGATCATCTGACCATGGAGATGCTGCAATAGTCATAAGTGTGAAAAACAGTCATAAGTCACTTTTTTCATTGCTTTTGTAACTTTGAACAGTCACTAAATGAACTTGTAAGTCAAGGACTGTCTGTAATATCTGTTATTTAGTTGCTATTTCTATGGATAAAGTATAATAATTTACAATTTAAATAGTATTCCATTCTATGTTATGAATATGGAGTTGAAATTCTATTCCACAGAAAAAATAAATGATATATTTACAATTATTGATATAGAAATGAAAACTAGAAACAAATACTAGATAATAGCCAAGAAGATGGCAACTACTAGTAGAAGAATAAAACCTATTCTTCAAAATAGGAAAAGTGTTTCTAATTGGAATTTAGATATGGCCTACTATATCAATTGACTGAGTTTTCATCAATATAGCTCAAACATTCTGAGAATTGTTTAACTACAACTTAAAAAAAATTGAACAATTAGGGTGTGTCATTTAATGGGGTGAAAATTAATTTTTGCATTTTTTTCAGTGAGGTTAAAAAATGTTTTAACACCAAGAATTCAAATCTGTTGTTACTTTTAAAATTGCACTTTTAGCTTGGTATGGTAAAGCTACATCTGATCATATACTCCTCAAAAGTCATTAAGCTTATCTTCTCAAAATTATACTTGTACCACAAAAATTAAAGTTTGTTTCTGCATGAATCTTATCTAGCTAAGCAAAAATAATCCATGCAATCATAAAGCAACATCAGAAAATAATTATCTGAATTACAAAAATGTTTAAGCGAATTGCATGAAGTCTTGTTTTAATTTGTTCTTTGATATCAGCCACCGACTTGCTGCTTGGCTTCTGATATAACCCTCATGTTTACACTCTGCTTGTTGCTTCGGTGACCTGTTTCTCACAGCTCTCTATTGATTGGGCATGACAGGGCCACTGTAGTATTTGCATTGATTCATCAATTAACTTCCTTATTTCCTCTGTAGTCAGTTTACATGTCAAATGTGGCTCATATACACCTTCAGAACAGTCAATCAGCTCCATTTTCTTGAATGTACAAAAAAATCTCCCAGCGCGTCATTCTTTGCACTCCTCAAGTCAATGATCTTTTGTATACCACTTCTCCTCTTTTGAATGTTATCTGAACACAAGAAAGTCTGTATTATCATTTCACTGAAAGCGTACCATGCTGAGTGCTGAATGATCGGCAAAACAGCATCTACTACAGCATTCTTTTGCCAATGTGACTTGCTGCAGCTGGATCAATGCATAATGCGGGCCTTCAATCCAAGAATATTTTATTTTGATGTTGAACCAGCAATGGTAGTACACACCAATGATGTATTCCACTATCATTCTTAAGTTTTGGAGAGTTTTGTCTTTAAAGCCATGTTTTAGAACTCATATTCGACAAAGCATATTTGCAATTTGTCAACCAATGTGAATGGCTTATGGGCCCAATTTCCAGAAGAACAGATATGTGGGAAGTTTTCCTGTCCTTATTGCCTATGAGAGCCAATATTTATATGCTTGATCAGTAGAGAGATCCTTTATAACACTGTTGCTCAGTGAAATGGGAGCCTAAACAATTGAACTCTTGGTGAATGAAGGATCAGTGTTAAATTCTATTGAAGTGCCTAACATGTTGCAAATTTTACTTGCCCATTTGTTGTTAGAAAAAGTCTTGCCATCTAAATTTGTGCCGTAAAGGTGACTCAATTCATGTGTAGTACACACATCAATCAGATCAACCTCCGATCAAGCTTGAACTATACCCAGTGCATGGCACCACCTTCACAGCCAGCATTTGTAGAATCTCCTTCAATGACCTTCAAGCTTTTGTCAATATCTTTTCTTCATAAAATGCACCAGATTGTCTGCTATCACTTGACAAGGTTTTCCTGTTTTTGAGCCTTTCTCTGGAGTGAAATGACAGAGATACCTTTGTCATTTCCAGATACCACCCAGCTCACTGGACACAGAATAATGTTCTAATTTGATGGTACTACAGAATTGCTGGTCTGAATTGTTTGCTTTCAGCATAACTTTAGTTACATCTATGTGGCCATCGAAGAAGATGCATTCTATTTTGCCTTTCTTACAGAGTTCATCAAATTCTTCATCTAGGGACTTCATAATTTTTTTCTGGGCTCTCTTGACTTTATTGTGGTCAACTATACTATATGTATCTTGTCTTCTTTGGTGACCAAGCCAGCATCTATGAAGGCAGCTGTAATAATGGCAGCAGTGGCATGTAGACAAACACCTTATCTTCTGCTTTCCATAGCGACATTTGTTATTTCTAATCTATTGTATTCTGTTTTTTCTTTTGAAATAGAGGCATGTGTGTTTGGTGTAAGGCCTCTTCATAACTTCCATCACATTCCTCTTCATCATCAGTCGTCTTTCCTTCATTTTTATCATAAGAGATAATTCATCAATATCAAAATGTCTGGAACACTTCTCTACTTATATTTAGCAAGCCTTTGTCTCTCATTGTGTTGCTGCTTTTGCCTTTTGCCTACTTGTTTCTGCTCAAGCACATCCGGCAAAACAGTCTAGTGCAAGAACCAATCTTGCCTCTCTGCTTTAATGAAAGCAAGTCCCTTCAGTGTTATCTTTGTCTCCTTAGGGCAGGTAAGTTAGTGTGAGCTTCTTTTTTGCAGCCAGCAGGGTAGCTGAACAGAACAATTTAACATTTGTAGTTAAGGTTGTCAGTTTGTCAAGTTTCATAATGAAAGTCTCTTTGACATCTAGCTTTCCTACAAGAAATACGTTTATGGCTTAACCCCAGCTCTCCTGAGTCTTGTTCAAAATTGTCAGTCATGAATTTACAACAGGGATCAAAAAAGAACTGATTGCTTGTTTCCACTTTTCCAGTACTTTTCGTTCTATGTCTCTTGTAAGACTGACTGCTGTGTGGTTTCTAGCATCATCACTACTTTGTTCTCTTAACAGTAGGCATATCTGAGAATGTCTCACAGTGTTGGGAGTTCAGACAGCAACAAATCTCTGCCAGCCCCAATTAGGTTGCTCATATGAGTGAAGGTTCCCAGTCTTCTTCTCTTTTAAAAAGCCATTACAGATCAGTTATCACACTCACAGGAAATGTTATTAACTGTTTCCTGTGGTATCCTGTGGACCAGCGATATTAACATTGTCAGACAAAATAACGTTTCACAAAAAGAGAAAGACAGTTTAACCTGTGAAATGAAACAAACAAAATGGTAAAAAATGATATTGGTGTAGTTATTTAACAAACACATCTACATTATGTTAAAGTAACTAAAATACCTTTACAGTTCCTCATGGCATGTCACAACTTTTGAGCACCCCTAATGCTTGGAAATTGAAATTGACATGCCTTAGAAATTAAACAAAAAATGTTAAAAAGTTATGATATTTATGTAGTTATTTACCAAACAAATCTAAATTATGTTAAAGTAAGCAAAATATCTTTACAATCCTCAAGGCATGTCACAACATTGAGCACCTCTGTTTGTAAATTGTAAATTAAAATTTGACACCCTACAATATGCACCCCAGCTCTGCTCTTGACACCCTTTTTCATCATTGTCTTGTATAAGGCTAACTTATGAAGTAGGGAGTCTTTTTTTGTCTGTGCAAGATTTGTATAAGACTGCATAATGAACAGTATTGTATTGCTATTTATACATAATTTCTGTGTCATAAAGCCTGTAACTCCATTCACAAGAAGAATTCTAGTCAAGAACATCATCTGAGATTATTCTTGAATTTTGAGACCTGGCTAGAGAGTATTCCTTTGTTGAGACTAATTTATATAACCCTGGTGACCTGGTGGGGCATTGTAAATTTGTAAATTAGAAAATTGTAAATTTCTAAATTCTGAATATATGCATAACTAGGTTGCACTGAATAAAATAGAATAGCATAGAATAGAATAGAAGAGTGGGATGGGACATTGGAGGTCTTCTAATCCAATCCCCTGCTCAGGCAGGAAACCCTAATGGGGCCCAAGGTGGTATGCCATGGGTGACACGCAGAGCCCTCTTTGGGGGCACGCCAGTTATCACCCCAGCCCAGCTCCACTGTGCATGTGTGTAGGCTGCTGGTCAGCTGGTCTTCAGGTCTCTGCTGTGCACGCATACGCGGGGGGTGCTCGCATTGCATTTTGGGGCCTCACGCAGCGTCCCCAAGTTCTGTTTTGGCTTTCAGGTTGGTGCAGGAAGGCTTCCAGGCCCAAAACAGGGTGCAGGTGGCATGCCATCCTGTGCCCCATTTTGGGCCTGGAAGGCCACCTGCACCAGCCTGAAAGCCAAAAATGGCAGGGAGGGGGGGAAGTGCATGCATGGGGAGAGCAGGGGAGCGCAGGGGTGTAGCTTGCGTAAGTGTGGGGGTTGCACGCAGTGGGGTCGCATGTGTGATGATGGGGCAAACACGTGGGGGTCATGGGTGCCCCCCCCACGCATTGCATTATTGCTTTCAGCACGTGATGATAAAAAATGTAGCCATCACTGCCCTATACCATTTCAGACAAATGGTTGTCTAGTCTCTTCTTAAAAACTTCCAGTGTTGGAAATTTACAACTTCTGGAGGCAAGTTGTTCCACTGCTTAATTTTTCTAACTGTCAGGAATTTTTTTCTTAGTTCTAGGTTGCTTCTCTCCTTGATTAGTTTCCATCCATTGGTTCTTGTCCTGCCCGCAGGTGCTTTGAAGAATAGCTTGACTCCCTCTTCTTTGTGGCAACCCCTGAGATATTGGAATACTGCTATCATGTCCCTTCTAGTCCTTCTTTTCATTAAACTAGACATACCCAGTTCCTGCAAGTGTTCTTCATATGTTTTAGCCTCCAATCCCCTAATCATTTTTGTTGTTTTTCTCTGCACTCTTTCTAGAGTCTCCACATCTTTTTTACATTGTGGTGACCAAAACTGAATGCAAATATTCCAAGTGTGGCCTTACCAAGGCATTATAAAG